TTAGCCCTTTCATGAGGAGGCCTCAGGCCAGCAGGAAGCCTGAGGCAGGAAGCAGGGCCATCAGGAGTTGGAGCCCCAGGTGGTCCTTCCCCTCAGCCAGCCCAGAGCCAGGCAAAGAGAGACTGCATCCTGGGCTGGCACAGACTGCGGTCACCTGCTGCTCCCTGCGTGGGTCCAGAAAGGGGCACCTATCACAGTCACATAGCCACCTCCCTCGCAGTCCAAGGCCGGCTGGGCTTGGAATCCAGGGCTCCTGGCCACCAGCCAGGTCTGCTGAACATCTATGGAGAGCGCGGTGTCTCCCACTGTAAGGTCATCCCTACAGATAGTGAGGACAGAGACAGGGGCACTGGCATGGGAGGGTTTGGATGGGCAGAACCTTCTGGAAGCTTCTTTCTGGTACTACTAGAGAAAAGGCCTACTCTTAGCACCATCTCTTATCAGCTTTGGGGTGTGTGTGTGAGAGAGGGAAGAGGAGGGGAGGAGAGGGGAGGGGGAGGGGGAAGAGAGGGGGAGGGGAGGGGGAGGAGAGAGAGGAGAGGGGAGGAGAGGAAAGGAAAAGAGAGAGAGAGAGAGAGAGAGAGAGAGAGAGAGAGAGAGACTTAATTCATGCATGCCTTAGTTTCCTCAGCTGGAAAATGGGCGAAGGTTGGCTGTGAGGAGATTTGTTTTAGGACATAGCATGACCTGTATTTTATAGCTGTCGTCTACTCTCCTAGTATCACATTCCTTCTCCCCTGGGCCTGGAGCCCTCAGGCCAGCTCCGGGGACAGTTAAGCTCTCCAGCTCCTGGGGACCAGTGGCCTCACAGCCTGAGCCCAGCCCTCCGGCCCTGGCAGCAGATCAGATGTGATGTCCCCATGAAACAGCCGACTTGGCCAGATGGACACAGGCCGCCTTTGAGGCCAGGCAGGGGCCATCGGGGCCACACTGGACACACCAGAGCCTGCTGGGGGCAGGTGTGGGCTCTGTTTAGCAAGCCTGCTGGAGAATTTTTGGCTGGGTCATCTTGGGTGTGGGGGGTGTTGTGCCACTGGGGTCTGTTTTTTTCAATTCTCCTTCAGAGTCACCTTCATTTTTCTTTTTTCTTTTTTTTTCTCTTTGCTTTTTCAACCCCTTGTGCATTTTGTTTGTTTTTTGAGAGAGGATGTGGCTATGTAGCCCAGGCTGGCCTTGAACTTTTTTGATTGTCTTGTCTCAGCTTCCTGAATGCTGGGATCACAGGCATGCACCACCACACCCAGCCTCATCTTGTCCATTTTCAAGTCTGAAGGGGGCCACCAGGCTGGAGTGGGTAAGGTGGCACTGCCAATCACAGAGCAAAGCAGTCGATCCTCCCCGTCCCCCGGATTCTGTATCCTAGGATGGACCAACTACAGATAGAAAATATTGGGGAAATAATTGTATCTGGAATAAACACATAGAGAATTTTTCTTGTCATTATTTCCAAATAGTCCAGTGTAACAACTATTTACACAGTGTTTACATTGTGTCCGGGATTATAAGGAAGCTAGGAGATCATTTGCAGTACCTGGGGGGAGGTGCGTGGGTTCTACTTAAACACTGTGCCATTTATACAAGGAATCTGAGCACCTGCCAGGTGCTCCTGGAACAAATCCACAGCAGATACCCAGGGTCTGGGTCTGTAGTCGTATTGGGGAGGGGACCCTGTGAGCCAGGCATCATTCCTAGGAGAGGACTGAGCCCACTTGAGGATGGCATCTCCCTGGAACCCCACAGCTTCCAGGGTACGGTCAAGTTCACTCTCTGCGTCTCCAGCCAGCCAGGATGGCTTTGTTACAGGGAGCGCTCTTGACCCTCCCTGGCCCAAGGCCAAGTCTTCCCACTGCTCTCAGGCCTCGACTTGCTGCACGTCCCTTCCTGTGCCTTGGTCCCTTGGCACTGAGCGCAGTTGGCCCAGTGCTTTTGGAGGTCCTTGGGGCTTAGGTAGCCTTTAGATCCGTGGGTTTTGCCCAAAGATCACACAACCCCACACACTCCCAATGGCCCCAGGGAGATGCCTGGCAGCAAGGCCTCCATCCTGTCCTTGGTCCCCTTCCAAACTGTCGTCTGGATGTGGAGTGGGGCCCAGGCCCTGGGAGGAGCACTATTTAAAGAGCCATCTCCAGCCATCCCCAGTCCTGCTGTGCAGCGAAAGAGCACTCCAGACCATGGTAGGCTGAGGCCACTCTGCCTCCCGGCGGGGCTACACCCCTGCACCTTTGCCCTCCCCAGGGGGCTTTGGTGCCCTCTCTGCTGACCTCGGGGTTACCTTCCTGACCTAACCTCAATCCTGACCTTATTCCTTGACTCTGATCTCACTCAGTCCATGACCTTGACTTCATCTGTGATTCTAACCTTCATCTCATGCCTGAATTCACCCTGACCTTGACCTCGTTCCTTTCCCTGATATCCTTGACCCTGACCTGATGTCCCTGATATGACCTCATCTGAACTCAAGGCTTCAAAGCCTGGGCTTGGCTCACCCTTGGGCTGTCTCTAATGGGTGGCCAGCCCATCCTTATGGGTTGGGTTTCTGTTTTTCTTTCTTGGACTTGGTGTGGGTTGCTGAGGTGAAAGTGAGGGGAATGAGGAAGGAGAGAAGGGTTGGGGGAGATGAGTGAGGCAGGCTTAGAGCTTCAGAGTGAATCTAGGGATCTGATCATGCTGGGAGGACATTATTCCTGTCCTAGGTGGGGGTCAGTGTCCCAGCCAGCGTATCTGTGGGGTCCTCCTATTCGTCCTTGGCTTTGTCCTTCAGGCAGCCCACGGTTCTTCCCTGTCCCTGTGCTCCATCCCTGGGGTCCCCTGTGGTCTCAGTCTTGCTGTGTGTGTGTGTGTGTGTCTTGCCCGCCCTCATTAGTTGTTCTTGGCCTGAGAACTCAGACTTACCACCTGTCATCCTTTATTGATGGCCTGTCTCCAGGCCAACAAGGATGGGGCCTGAAACAGCGCTGGGTCCTGGAGTCTGGACACAAGGTCTGTCTCGAGGTCAGCAGGTGTCTAACGTCCTAATGATGGAGGCAGGTTTTATAAATTGAGGCTCAGAGAAGTTACGTGCATTTTTTTAACACTGCTGCAAGCAGCAAAACCAGGGTTAAAACTCTGATCTGGTGGGACTCCTACTTTCCTAGAATGTTCCTTCCAGGTGACCCATATGTTTTAAGGGGTTGGTTCCAAACAGGAATTTGCAAGGCAGCTGGTTGCAAAGGGCCCTGGCTGGGAGGGAGTTCGGTGCCTGGCCAGGGCTTTGGTCTCAGGTCATTTCTTTTAGCTAGACAAAACAAGCCCTCTCTGGACCATGGCAGGGTGGCAGTGGCGGGGTGAGCTCAGGGCAGGTCTGAAAAAGACCAGAATCTCTCTCAGACGGAAGTGATCATTTTTTATTAATCAGAGGGAAATGTATATGCAATTATGTGAGATGAAGTCTGTAGGGAAGTTCTTTTCTTTATGATGTCTGAAGGGATTTATAAATATTACAGGGCTTTTTACAGCATCTTAATGTCGAGGCCGTCCTGCCAGCCCCCTTTCAAAGGATTAGTGGAGACAAAGAACCCAGGGAAAACTAATTATAAGTTGGCTGGGTGCTGTTGCTCCTTACGTGGACTCAGGAGCCTCAGGGAAGTGGGGTGAGGTGGGGTGGGGCAGGGAGACCACACAGGCACTGGAATGGGGGTGGGGAGGCAGGGGAAGCCCATGCTAGGGGGACAAACGGGGCTTGTCAGGGAGTGCGATGCCTGCTGGGCTAGGGGCCAGAGCTCAGACCTTTCTCTCCTCCCCCCTCACCCATCAAAGACTCACTGACCTGACGGGGCTGGAATGATGACTGCTAGGGGAATGGTCCCCTCACGGGGTCCTGGGGACACAGAGATTTGAGCACATGTCTAGTGATTGGCTCCCAAGGAACCAGGACATCCTGAAAGAGACACCAGGAGGCAGGAAGGCCAGCCAGAGACCCTGGCATGGCTCCATGTGGGTGGTCGCTGCTCTGCCTGCTGTGTAGGTGGGATCTGAGTTCTGGATCACAGATGGCCACTCTGAGCCAGGTCAGGGTGGGGCAGGAGAGATCAGAATGGGTCTCACCCTTAAGTCTCTGCTCAGTAAGGGGAGACAGACACGGAGAGGAGTGGCACGGCAGTGTGCTATATGCTATGGGGCTAATAGTCTAGAAGAATGGCCTGGGGGTCAGGGAAGGCTTCCTAGAGGAGGCAGGGTAGCCGGGAGTATGGGAGGCCAGCAGGCATTCAGGGCATGGGGGTGGCAGGAGCAGATGCTGGGATAAAGCAGCTGAAAGAGGGTTTGGGGTGAGTAGGAGACCAGGTAGGTGGGAGAGAGGACAAGTTTTGAAAGATCAGTGAGGAGCCAATCTTTATTTGTTTTCTGAAGTACTGAGGTTTGAACTCAGGTCCTCACACTTGCTAGGCAGGTGTTCCACCACTTGAGCCAGTCCACCAGCCGTTTTCCATGTTGAGTATTTTTGAGATAGGGTTTCGCTTTTGTTGTCAGGGCTGATCCTCCCGATTGCTGCCTCCTGAGTAGCTAGGATTATAGGTGTGAGCACTGGTGCCTGGCAAGAGGCAGATCTCAAGGGAATCAAACATTATACTGGGAACACTTTGGGAAGCTTTTAGCCTCTGAATGGAGGGCAGTGGGGGAGGGGACCACGGGCTTCACATGGGTTGGGGGCTGAGGACAAGAAAGTACTCCTTCCGAGTCACAATGCTGGTGTTACCACCCTCTTCTGGAGTTCTGGGTGTGGTGTGGTAGCTGGGCCAGGAACAGCTGCCCTGCCCTGTGCAGTGGGCGCTCCCCAGGCTGGGAAGCAACCTGCTTTTCTGCAAGGCTGCACTGAGAGCTGTCTGGCTGCTGTGGGCACCAGAGGCTGGGTGATGTCACCTAGTACCATGATGCTCTGGGGGATGAGGCTTGGCTGGGGTGGGGTGGGCTCTGACCTTCTATAGAACGAGTGGCTACAAGGCCTCACCTGGTCCCTGCAGGCACCCAGAAGAGCCCGGAAGAGAGCAGAAGGTGGAGCCAGCTCCAATGTCTTCTCCATGTTCGATCAGTCCCAGATTCAGGAGTTCAAGGAGGTTGGTCAATAGGCCCAGAGGCCCTGGGGTGATTAAAGGAATGCTCAGGACACCCATTGCACCTGGAGATGTGACTTGCTGTCCTCGGGGGATGGTGCCAGGGCAGTTGGGCTGGGCAGGACGCTCAGGGCCAGTGTCTCCACCAGGCCTTTACCATCATGGACCAGAACCGGGATGGCTTCATCGACAAGGAAGACCTGAGGGACACCTTTGCTGCACTTGGTGGGTGATACAAGAAGCAGTTGAGGAAGCTTGGGGCTTGGGGTGGAGCCAAGCCCAGGTCACCTAGCAAGCGCTGGCAGCTGGGGTGGGTCCAGGCACTGGCAGTGAGTGAGGAGCTCAGGAGTTGAGGGGTGCAGAAGTTTTGCGGGAACTGTCTGAAATATCAGGAAGGTCCCTGGGTGTGAGAGGTGGGCTCAGTAGAAAGGGAAGGGCATTTTAGGGGCAGGAGAGGCTTGTGCAAAGGCCCGGGGGTAGAGAGAGGTCCAGAGAGTGAGAATTGGGGAGAACTTGGGGAGGTCAATTCTCTACGGGTGCAGAGAGGGGTCTTATGGCACCGACGGGGCTTTGGTAGGCGAAGAGGCATAACCAACTGGTCTCTGGCTGAGCCTGGCGCCTCCAGTGACCTGAGTGCCCACTTGGACCATGAGCAATCCCAAAGTTCCCATCCTGAGGGGTGCATGAACCTTGAGTTCCCCTGTGTCCCTCCACTTCCTCTTCTTTGTGTCTCAGTTTCTTTATCTGCAAAAGGGGAATAATGAGTGACCCACTCTTCTTCCCAGGGAGGCTGAGGTGGAGGCAGGGGTGAGGTTGGGGGGGTGGGGTGCAGCCTCGTGAAGGTTGTGGGCTGAATGTTCACTAAGGGCCCCCAACAGCTGGAAGACACAGCTAGATGATGTTGTAGGACCCTCTGTGGCTGCCTGCTCCGGGAGTCCCAAGGGTCCCATAGTCTCCTGCCTCCCTACCTCTTCCCTCCCCCAGGCCGTATCAATGTCAAGAATGAGGAGCTGGAGGCCATGGTAAAGGAGGCCCCTGGGCCCATCAATTTCACCATCTTCCTCACCATGTTTGGGGAGAAACTCAAGGGTGAGTGAGACTCCAGGGGAGCTGGGGAGGGACTGGCAGTTGATATGTCCCCCTCCTTCCCTGCCACCCTTGACACTTATGTAACCACAAGTGGGAACACACTATGGTCTCAGAGACCAGCTCCTGGGTGCACACACCACCTGAGTCCTGCCTCAGTTTCCACCTCTGCATCACACAGTGAGTCCAGTGTAACGACACTGCCTTGTAAGCCGTTTTGTCCACCGTCATGACAGTTTTACCCTCTACACCCTCCATTCTGCCTCCAGCTCCTTGTAACGGGACAAACCGAAGGGTGGGAGAAGGGGCTTCTGAGAGTGACTGTGGTCCATCCTAGTGCTGGACAGGTTATTCTAAAGTTGCTGTAGCTCCAGGGAAAGGATAAGGGAGCTGTTTTCATCAATGAGGAATCAGAGGAGAGGCTCAGAGATGTGACACCTGCTCCAGGTGCTCCAGCAAAAACCAGCAGGGGTGGTGCCCCAACCTGGCCCCAGCTCTAACCGCTACACCCTCCTGAGAGTGTACTGGGCCCTGGCAGGGGGAGGGATCATCTTTTTCCTCTTTGTCTAGAGGTCCTGGCAGCTACCCTGTAATGACATCCCTTAGGCTGTGGCTGCCCAGGAGGTGAGCACTGTCATCTCCACCCTCAGGTTGCCCCTGCCCAATGCTGCCCTTGGCCTCAGCTAAGTCTAGGTCAAGACCTGACTCCTACTGACCCTAAAGGTGACCTGGGGTGGGCTGCTTTGCTTTCTGTACTTCATTTTAAAAATTATTATTTCTTTGCAGTGCTGGAGTTTGAGTTTGGGGCTGTGCGCTTGCTGGGCAGGTGCTCTACCACTTGTGCCATGCTCACAGTCCTTTTGCTTTTTTTTGTTCTCGTTTGTTTTGCAGATAGGGTCTTCAGTTTTTGTCTGTAAATGGGGGTTGTATTAGATCCCTGAGGCTGCTGTAAGAAATACGCAAACATGGTGGCTCGAAACAATCTTCCCAAACAATTGTTTTCCAGGTAGCTTTTGCCTAGAACCATGATCCTCCTACCTCTGCCTCCTGGGGAACTAGGATTACAGGCATGAACCACCCATGTCTCGCTCTGCCTCCCTATTTTTTTTGTGAGGGGGAACTGGGGTTTGAACTCAGGGCTTTGTGCTTGCAAAGCAGGCATTCCACTGCCTCCAGTCCATTTTGCTCTGGTTATTTTTGAGATGGGGTCTTGTGTGCACTCTTTGCCTGGGCTGGCCTCGAACCATGATCCTCCTAATCTCAGCCTCCCAAGTAGCTAGGATTATAGGTGTAAGCCACCAGTGTCCTCTTATAAGGACACTTGTCACTGGATTTATTCAGGGTGACCTCAAGATTCTTACTTTGCATCTGTAGTCTATTTTCCCAAATAAGGTGACACACCACCATGCTCTTGTGGCCACCACTCAATCCACCACAGGGTGATTCTATCTAATTCTACAGGGTGAAAAAACTCATACTCTTACTGGCGATAATTGGCCAGAGAGTAGAGCGACTTCCACACAGTGTTCTGGCTGATCCTGGAGCTCGGAGGAGATCCATGATTGACCTGGGGGTAAGAAATGAGGACACAAGGGGCGGGGTGACAGCTACTCAGGAGGCAGAGAGAAGGAGGATCGAGGTTCAAAGCCAACCCAGGCAAATAGTTCATGAGACCCTATTTCAAAAAGAACAAAAACCAAAACATTAAAAAAAACCATACTAAAAAAAGGACTGGTGGAGTGGCTCAAGGTGTAGGCCCTGAGTTTAAATCCCAGTACTGCAAAAGAAAAAAAAAAAGGAAGAAAGAAAGAAATGAGGACAAGGAAGCTGGGGAGGCCTCCTCTGAGGCAGGCTTTGAACTTGGAGCCATGCAACTGAGAGGGGAGCACCATGGGGCCCTTCTCTGGGCAGCTGCTAGGGATTGTTCCCAGGCCTGTGGCCAAACTCCGGGGGAGCTCAGAAGTCCAGGAGGTTGGGCCAGGGTAAACATGGCACAAGACACAAAAGTGTGACTGTAACTTCCAGCTCAAAACAGAGCAGATCCGAGAGTTGGCCTCCATCTTTGATCCAGAGGGATGTAACTGAGGGAAAGTTGTCACAGGCTAGAGGGGAGGCCTGGGGGAAGTGACCCGTGGGTGGCTGGGGTGGACAGCCCGGGGGCCTGACCTGGTAGACAAAGGCACCTCCTGCACTGGTGCAGAGTGTGCACTAGGGGTGAGCAGTTTAGAGAAACCTTTTGGGGCATTCATGGGAAGTTGGGGGTGCTCTTTTAGTTTCTGATGGCCACGGCCTGTTTTGCACATGGGGAGATAGAGGGTGAGGCTTCCGTCAGTCTGTGGCTGACACGGGGCAGTGACCCAGGGTCTGGTAGGGACTGCAGGGTTTTGGCTTTTTCTCGCCTTTGCAGGGGTGCTGAGCTGGGGTTCCACAAGTCTGTCATGCAAACGTGGCTGAGCTTGCGTGAGAGGCTGGTGAAGAGGCTGGCAGCTGGGAGGGCCAGGGGCTGGGGCGGGCACTGTGTTTGTCCCACTAATTGGGATGGAGGGACATTGATATGGTAGCTCCAGAGATGGGAAGTGGCTATTCTGCTGCACATTTTATGAGACTCCAGGCTCCAGAGCAGAGGCCCTCCCTGGGGAGGAGGCAGGGAGGACAGTGCACCCAGCATCCATGCAGGGAGTGGCTGGCCCAGAGGAGGTGACAGTCCAGTGGTTGGGCCTGAGCTAAGGAAGGCCAGGGTCTGGTCTTCAGGAGTGGGCTGAAGCCAGCCCCAAACGGGCCCCCAGCTCAAGGCCTCTTCAAAGACATTAGAATTTCCAGCTAATTGACGAAACCAAGGGGGCTGTGGCCTCAGAGGCAGAGAAGCCATCCTGCCCACACTATGAGCCTGTGACCACTCCAGACTCCCCTTCCTGCTGCTTGGCTGACTTGGGAGGCCCTGGGGACTTCTCCCATCCAGACCTGGCCTGAGTCTCTGGCCAAGCTACACAGGCATCTTGGTGCCTTCCAGGAGGAAGCCACTGCTCTGCCTTCCAGGAGAAGGGACACAGGTGGTCCTGACCCAGACTGATGGGGGGACACAGAGGCCCCTGACCCAATGTGATAGAGAAGAGACAGACCCCAGACCTGGTCTGCTTGGCAGAATCTGGGTGCCCTGAGTGTGACAAGTTGGGACATTGTTTCTACTGCACAAAGTGTTCATGGTTGGTAAAGTGTAGGTGGGAGCTTGGCACCAAGCCCTCAGCTGGATTTGCAGTTCTGATCCATTGACGGTTGTCAAAATCCAGCTGTGAGTGATGCACAAGCCCCTGGTCCTGTAAGGCTGGCAGAAAATGTCCCCATCCCCGTGACATGGCGAAGCCTGGAAGAAAGGAAGGAGCTTCCTGGGTCCACAGGGCTCTTGGGTTTTCCCCATCAGTGAGCCCGGCAGGGCAGCGTGATAGTGAAAGAGGTCTGGGTGAGGATTGTCAGGTCATCTGCCATCATTCACACAGACTGTGAGGCCTTGGGTGAGCCCTTTTCCTCCCTCTCAGCCTCAGTTTCCCCATCACTGCAATGAGGGAGCTTCAGGCCCATTGTGGGCAGCAGAAACAGCTCTTCCTCTCCTCCTCTTCCTCTTTCTTTCTTCTTTCTCCTCTTCGTCCTTCTCCCCCTAACCCCATGGTGGTACTGGGGTTTGAACTCAGGGCCTCACACTTGCTGGCAGGTGCTCTACCACTTGAGCCATGATTCTAGTCTTTTTTGCTTTAGTTATTTTTCAGGTAGAGTGTCGTGTTTTTGCCTGGGGCTGGCCTCTGACTGCAATCCTCTTACCTATGCTTCTGCAAAGCCGGGATTACAAGTGTGCACTATTGCTCTGGGCTCAGAATCATTTCCTCTAAATGACACCTTCCCCCGAAGTCATGAAGGTGTTAGAAGCAGACCTGCTCTGGCTGTGATTTCACCTGGCCTGTTGGCCTACCTCTGGATGGGACAATCTTAGAGATGCCTCCAATGGCTCTGCCTGGGCCCCAGTCCCGACTCTCAAGTGCAAAGATTTTTTGCCACTGCTTACAGATTGAGTGCATAGCTTTGGCAATGAGTGAGCCCAGAACTACCCTGCTCATTCAGCAGGATCAACCTGGAGACTTCAGACAAGTCCTTTCACCTCTCTGAGCCTCAGTTTCTCCAACTGTATAACAGGGAGAATTGTCAGTAGGATTAAGTACGTAGCAAATGCTTGGTGGGGAGCCCATGTACAGTGGGGCCGGTTGTCCACAACTGGATGTAGGCAGAGCCCTTGTCTGTTATTACTCACTTGTTTCTCTGAAACCTCCCTGCTCTTGCCTCAAGTGGGCTCAGCCGTCACTGTGTAGTGGGAGTTGGGGGGCCATGGGACCCACCTGTACCACCAGTCCTTGCCCAGCCTGGCATCTGTCTATGAGGGGTCTCTCCACTGTGCCACTCTCCCTGCCTTGTGTGTGTTGTATCCAGGTACTGACCCAGAGGAGACCATTCTCCATGCTTTCAAGGTGTTTGACACTGAAGGGAAAGGCTTCGTCAAGGCCGACTTGTAAGTTCCTCATCCCCCTTGGGGTTTTCCCCTCCCTAGGCCAAAGTCTCAGAGGAAAAATGATCTGGGGTGGGTCAGGGTGGGCATCAGTTCCATTTGGAACTCAGCCAAGTCAGGCAGCATCTGGCCAGTAGCCAGGAGGACACTGTCCAGCCCAGCCCAGTCCCTCCTGATGGCGTCACTCAGGGAGGGCTTCCCAGTGGTGGTGGGGATGGAGAGAAGCCTTGAAGTATCTTTTTTTCCTCTCCAGTACTGGGGCTTCACACTTGCTAGGCAAGTGCTCTACCACTCGAGCCACTCCATCAGCCCCAAGATTCAGGGTATTTCTTTTTTTTTTTTTTTCCCTTTGGCAGTACTGGGATTTGAACTCCAGGTCTTATGCTTGCTAGGCAGGTGCTGTACCACTTCAGCCATTCTACTAGGGGAGGGAGGCCTTGAATGTTGACTATAGGTTTCCTAATCTGAGGGCAGGAACAGCATGCTAGATGTGGGAACAGAGAGGGTGAAGCCTAGAGCTTGGCGTGTGTTGGCTGGTGAGCTGGAAGGTGCTGGAGGAGGTGAGGTAGGCAGGGGCCTATGTGGGGTGGCTCATACACCAGCCCTGGATGCTGGGTCTGCCTGAAGAGAATGGAGGAGACTTAGAAGAATTCAGGCAGAAACAACCTGGAGGCCACCCTGGAGGAGGAGAAGGGAAGGAGAGGGTTGCAGCTCCCAAGAGGCTGGTGGATGTTGGTATGGAGAAGAACTGACAGGTCAGCAAAGAGCCAGAGCCAGCACGGTTGGGAGGGGAAGGACAGAGCCAGATGCCAACCAGAGCCTAAGTGGCTGGAGTCAGAGCTGGTGGAGTGACCAGCTCAGGTTGGGATACCTGAGGAGGAGGAGGTAGCCATGGACACCTGTCCAACAGGACCGTGGGCTGGCATCAGGGAGGTGGCCTAATGTACATGGGAGCTTTTCCCACTGGGACAGAGGGACCAGGGTGGGGTAGTGGCTGTCCCTCGAGGCTGTCCCTTCCTCACTAGGCCTTGGGTGGCCCTGGCAGGCAAGATTCCTTTGAGGGACAGGCTGGTGACCCATGACAAGGCTTCAGACATTCAGGTTTTGAGGATGGCTTTCCTGCCCATCAAAGGCCCCACCTGTGGGGGTAGGGAGGGTGGCAGGGCAGAATGGAGGTGTGGGGATGGTGTCAAACTTCCCTCGGGTGCTGCAGTATTACCAAGGGTCTTTCAGACTGCACCCCGTCCTTTTTTCATCCCCACCCCTCATGGGGTCTGAGGTGTCCACTTGCACCTTGAGGGACCCTGGGAAGCACCGAGGGTACATTCCCCGCGCCCCCCCCCCCCCCCCCCCCCGTCCCCCTAGCATGGGCTGGACCAACCCCTCAGCCACCAGTATGAGGTCAGAGCTGGGAGGAGCCCACTGGGGAGCAAAAGTCATCACCCTGAGCCATGGGACCTGGGAGATGTGACTGTTGGCCAGCCTGGCCACAGATGAGGCTCTGGTTGAAACGGAGTCTGTAAAAGTCCCCAGCCTGGGGAGCTGGAAACTGTGAGTGTCCCACAGAAACATAAATAATGGAAAATGTGTGTCGGTCCCTAGTGGGGCCTGCCACTGGTGCCAGAAGCCACTCTGGGTGCATAGGGCTTGGCTTAAGCCCTCAGAGCTCAGTCCTGCCCACTGAGTCCCCTTAAGCCCTGCAAGGCCCCCCAAGCTCCAGGGGGCATTTTGGTCCCTTGCAGGCAGACCCCAAGGTACACTAAGCTCCCCCCTCTGGCTGCTCATCTGGCCCTAGGCAGCTCTGGTGGCTGCATAGCTGCTCTTTTGGATGCTAAAGAACAGACCCCATGCTGCTACCACCTCGCTGTGGATGTCGGTCAAGTTACAAACTCTCCCAAGCCTTCGTTTCCCTTCCAGTAGAAGGGAATCATAGTCACTCACTTCTCAGGTCTGTGAGGAGCCAAGATCCAAGAGGACCCAGACTTGGACAGGCTTTCTCTTTCCTGTGCCCTTGACCTTGGATGACATTTTGTAGGCTGTGAAATGCTGGACAGATGTCAGCAAAAATCAAGCTGAAGAAAGCAGCAAGATCAAGAACGAGACAAAAGAGTCCCCTCAGTGGCCCCAAGGTTTATTATTAGCACATTTCAGGAATCTTGAGTGGTCCCAAGGTCATGCTGGGGTCTCAAGGTCATGCCATTTGGTCTCCACCTGAGGCTGGGAGACGAGTTTGGGTTCCAGCTGGGGCTTAGAGACTGTGGAGGGCTGGAGGTGCCAGCCTTAGGTTAGTGCTCCCCTCCCTCCTGGGGTCAGGGCTTTCCCCATCCTCTAGCACCCCTCCCCCTGCAGCATCTGCATGTCCATGTGCGCTTGGACATGGCCGCTTCTCCCCACAAGCAGCATCAAGGAGAAACTCATGACCCAGGCAGACCGGTTCAGTGAGGAGGAGGTAAGTAGTGTGGGCTTTTGGGGTACCATGGATCCCATTCTGGGCCCCCTAATCTGCCCAGGTCCAGCCTGACTCCCTGCCCCCACCTCTAGGTCAAGCAGATGTTTGCGGCTTTCCCACCAGATGTGTACGGCAACTTGGACTACAGGAACCTGTGCTATGTCATCACGCATGGAGAGGAGAAGGACTAGGTGTGGCTCTTTTTCCACATTCAGAGTCAGACCTGATGGGGGCACCCATGGACTCCCGAAACTGGGGTGCACAGGGAAAATGGCTCCTGTTGTCCTGTGGGTCAGGACCGATGCACCAATAAATAAATAATGCTGAGGTCTGAGTTTGCGTGATTAATGCTCGGGTTGGGTAGACAGTGAAGTATTCCTCTTCTGTTGGTTTTTCCAGAACTTTTGGTTCCCTGGCTTTGCTCAGCTGTTCCTGATGAGCTGGTGTTTAGAACTAATTGGCAGTTTTAATGATCCCCAGCTGGCCACAGGGCCAGCCTTCATTTGTGAAACTTTTATTGAGCACCTAGTGCGTGCAAGAGCCTACGCCAGCCCCGGGGGCTCCAGGATGAGCCAGTTCCGTCCATGGGCGGGCGGGACTGTAAGAAGGAAGATGGTGGAGGGTGGGGGCCAGAGGGAAGGAGGATGGAGCAGAACCAGAGAAACATGGCAACAAGGAGCTGGCGAGAAGGGGATAAATTCAGAGATGCTTAAATAGGCAGAGAGTTCTCATCAGACACACATAGCAAAAGAGCATAAAGTAGCTGGGGCAGCTGTGGCTCTTGCCTTCTTGCCTGTAATCCCAGCTACTCAGGAGGCAGAGATCAGGAGGATGGCGTTTCAAAGCCAGCCTCAGGCAACTAGTTCCCGGGACCCTATCTTGAAAAAACCCAACACAAAATATGGCTGGTGGAGTGGCTCAAATGGTAGAGCACCTGCCTTCTGCCTAGCATGAGGCCCTGAGTTCAAATCCCTGTGCCACCTAAAAAACCATGTATATATTCAACACTGAAAAGTATGTTACTTTTTCACTTTTTGTTGCTGTGACAAAATACCTGAGAAGACGACTTAAGGGAAGAAGGGTGTATTTTGGCTTACAGTTTGAGAGGGCTGACTCCATTGCTACAGGCCTGTGGTGAGGCACAGCATCATGGCAACAGGAGGATGGGGTGAGTAAAGCTGCTTACCTCACGGTGGCCAGGAAGCAGAGAGTTGGAGAAAGAGAGAGAGAGAGGAAGGGACAAGCTGTACCCTTCAAAGGCATGTGCCCACCAACCCCATTCCTCCAACTGGGCCCACCAGCTTCCAGTTCCCACCATCCCCCAATATCCATTCAAACATAAATCCTTCAATGGATTGACCCACTGAGTGGATCACAGCCTCCATAATCCAATCATCTCTCAGTGATTGGGTCCACCATCTTGAGCAGGGACAAGCCTTCAACACATGAGCCTTTTTTGGAGGAACACTTCATATTCAAATCATAACAGAAAGATTATATCCAACCAGATATGTGACAAAAAAAAGATATTTAAATGTTTGATAAAGATCTGGAGAGAGGGCCAGGCATAGTAGTGCATGCCTGTAATCCTAGCTATGCAGGAGGCAAAGATGGAGGATCACTGTCCAAGGCCAGCCCTGTGAAGAAGTGAGATATCTTATCTGAAAAATAAATAAAGCATAACAGGGTGGGGGGTGGGGCTCAAGTGGTAGAGCACCTGCCCAGCAGGTATGAGGCCCCGAGTTCAAACCCCAGTACCTCCCCACACCCCAAATTCATTAACAGTTACTTTCTATTCTTCTTGTACCCAGAGCCTAGAAACTCAGATGTAAACGTGTGAGAGATCTCTAAGGTGCACCATTATTATTTTAGTATATATATTTTATATCCCAACATAAAAAAGAAGAAAAAAGGAGGAAAGGGAAGGAAAGAGAGAAAGTGACCTGCTCCCATGTTACCACAGTGGAGAGCTCGGAGCTCTTGTTCCTCTGGGCCCCAGCAGCCTCCAGCTCTTGGTCCAGGACACAGGAAGTGACCCATGGCAGAGGAGGCTGAGGATTCTGGGAGATCCTTCCCTCCACTGCTGGCCTGGCTCCCTCTTGCTCTCGAAGACTGACTTTCCTGGAAATCACAGATTCAGCATGGCTTCTACTGCTCACAAACTCGTCAGACCTGTCTGTGTCCCTGCAGGACCAGGCTGGAGCCAAGGTTGCAGGGAGTGGGCACCTCGGGCCATGGGCTCTTGCTCACCTGAGGTTCTGATTGTCAACAGCGAGTCCTGCCAACCTGCAGGGGCCCAGTTCTCCCGGGACACAGGGCAGCCAGTGGGGAGGCCAGAGGGCTCCATGAGGCCCAGAGAGGAGGCTGGAGACATTCAGCTTATTCATTCCTGTGCCCCTTCTGTACCAGGGCCCAGCAGTACCCCCACCAATACTCCAACTTGTCTTCAAGGGCAGGTGGGCAGGTGTGGGGCTGGGATGGGTCATAGGTGTGGACATGACACTGAGCCCAGGTGGGAGGCTGCTGGTGGCTGCCAGACTCTGGCTTCTGTTAGAGTTCCCAGTGTTGCTTGCTGGAGGCCCCACCAGCAGGTTCCCTGCTGGTCCTGGCTGCCCCCAACCTGGAACCCACCGGCTGCCTTCCACCTCCATAACTCTCTATTGTGTCCAGTGGCCCCCATCTTGGTCCCTAAAGGTGTCTCCTGGATCCTCCTCTGCTCTAGGCTGCTGTTGGGGTGATCCACAGAACTGCCCTTTCAAGGCTGGGGATGGGGAGGGGGAGCTGAGGCTTCCAAAAACCAGAAAGACAAAGACAGAGGCAAGCTCAAGGACAGAGGCCAGGATGGGCATGGGAAGGAGGCTGGGAACAGTGTGGGCAGGATGTGATATTGATGGGCACACCATCTGTCCTGAGCCATACCTAGAATCACTTTTTCAAAGGTATGACGGCCCCTTGCTGGCCTCCTTGACCTGCCTGGTAACACGTCCCCTTGGCTCTGGGTTCCAGTGGTACAGTTTCCTTTACTTCCTTGAGAGTCCTATGTTGCTTCCGACCACAGGGCCCTTGCTTACACTCTGTTACCCCAACTCTGCCTTCCAGTTTCAGCTCTGTGGCATGAGCTTAGGCCCAGATGTCCGGAATAGGTTGAAATCCCTGCAGAATACTTTCTGGACACCGAATACTTTTGGTGTCTGAATCCCCAGACTGCTCTATGTCCCTGAGGGTGGGGATTAAGTTGGATTTTGGCCACCAAAGTACCCCCAGCACCTCGCACCAGGCCTGGCATGTAGTGGCATCTTGGGAAACATTTGATCCACTCCAGGAGAATCAGAGAATCAATCAGAACCACTCGAGTCAGGTGGAGTCAGCTCTCTGGCTCTGGTTTCCAACAGGACACTGGGGGCCCTGTTCCAGGTTGAGGCTGGAAATGTAGAGAGTCCTGTGCCCTCCCCAGGGATCCTGGGACCTGCATTGAAAGGGGACTGACTGGTCTTGTGAGCTAGCCAAACTGGCTGTCCTGTAAAATTCTTGGTAACCCCTGACCAGACCTGGTAGGTGATAGGCAGTGAGCCCAGGCAGGCCTGTGGGTCCCCAAGGAGCTGGGGGTGGGGCAGGGAGCTGGCCCTGTGGGCTCCCCCAGCCAGCTGTGTCTCATCAAGGTTAATTATCCCAGTGAGACGCCTGGTTTTGGCATTTCATTTTCTACTTGGGCTCCATCAGCTGGGGCCTTCGGACAGTGGCCCTGTGTAAATCAAGAGGGGGTGGCTGTTAAAAGAAACAAAATTCCTTCCATCCATGTGGCTGGCTAAATTGCTTCTGAGGGCAGATTCCCTCCTGGCGCTCACTCAAGAATGGCCTAAGCCTTTGAAGGTCTTTCCAGGATGGACCCCAGGGGTTCGGAGCTGGCTGGGTAGGAAACCTCCCCACTCCACCCCCCCGCCCCAGGGAGCCTCTGCTGACTGCAGGAGGTGGGGCTCCTCTGGGGACAGTGTGGCTGGGGGGAGAGACCCTGCCTGACATAGGGCTCTGCCATCGGTCTGTCTCCCTGGCAATCCTGGGTCTTTTTCACAGCCAGGAAGTGGCTGGACTGGAGATAGGGTGGAGGGACGCCAGACATCAGAGTAAGGAAGTGTGCCTGTGGAATTTCAGGGCTCAGAGGGTGGCAAAGGCAGTGATGAGGTTCTGGACCTCTGGGGCCCCTGAGGGTCTGCCTGTCACTCAAAGCCCTTGGGTGTCACTTGATGAAGGTAGAGAAGGGCCCTGCAAGGGAGACAATCAAAGTTGGTTCTGGAAGCCTAAATGTGCATGTGTTTTACCACTTCCAGCTGGGTGACCTGAACAAGTCACTAACCCCACCGTGACTCAGTTTCCCTATTTGGAGAATGGAGATAATGGTAGTGCTAATGTCTCGGGTTTGGGAACCCAATGGGATACAGAACAGACATCATCTGGAACTCCCCTCCCCCCAGAGCCTAGGTCAGGGGGCAAACAGATACCACGACCGACAATGATACCATATGCAAGAAGGACTCAAAGTGGTAGAGAGGTGGACCAGCTGGACAGTGGGCTGTGGAAGTTGGGCATGGATCACAACTGTCCCTAAGACCTTATCCCAGGTCTAAGACACTCCCATTCTACTGATTCTACACGATTCTACTGATTCTACACTATCAGAAATGTGATTTATTAACAAGGTGAGGGCTGGGCATGGGAGTGCATGCCTCTAATCCCAGCTGGCAGGATTCAGAAGTAGGAGGATCACAGTCCAAGGCCAGCCCCCAGGCAAAAGTGGAAGACTCTATCTGAAAAATAACTAAAGTGAAAAGAGCTGGGGGCACGGCCTGCCTAGTAAACACAAGACCCTGAGTTCAAACCCAATACCACCACCACCAAAAAAACCAAATTAATCCAGGGTAACAGGTGCAAAGTCAGCAATGACAGATGAGTTGAGGAAGCCCTCAGGAGTTGCCCAATCCAGCCTGGAAGGCTTCTTGGAGGAGGTGATAACTGAATGGGTTGGAGGGGACGATGACAAGCAGCATTCAGGGAGAAGAGGCAGAGAGAGTCATTCCTTCCAGAGATGCTCACTGCTGACCACATCAAACAGAGAGAGGGTGAGTGTGGAGCTGGTGGGCCTCTGGCCAGCCCATGGCTCTTCCTAACCATCGGGACCAAGACACGGTCTGGGAGCCTCTCTCAGGCCACAGCAGCCAGCTAGAATTGGACATCGTGGTTTTGTTTTCCTTGTCTGGATTTTTTGTGGCTGTCTTCCCTCTATGGCACCTGGGACCAGCTTTTTATTTTTGGTAGTGAGGGTTTTTTTTTAATAAAAAATAAATCAACACAAGTTGATTTCAGGAAAAATATGAACGTAAATAACATTTAGGGGTAAAAATCATGAAGCAGAAGGGAATTACTGAGGTTTTGGAAGAACTGAATTGTAAAGACACTGACAGATTGTTCTGAAGGTGAATGAGAGTTCTAGAACTCTCGGGAACACGGGCGTCTTTCCTGCCCAGGCAGCTTTCAGTCTTGAACCCAAATCCTGAACATAGAGGCTCCATCCTAGACCCCCACAGTGGTGGGGTGAGGGTAGGGGAGTGTGGTGCTCGTTGACAGAAAGACAGAGAGAGAGTCATGCAGAGTTTGTGGCTAGGCACCAGCTTAAGCTCACAGTTGATCTTACTGAAGCCAAACTCCCTCGGTGACTCAGATGTCTGCTGAGGTTTTGCACACGACACCTGGCTCGCTCCAGAAGCCTGCCTGGGGCCATGCCCACTCACTCCCTGGCCTGCCTGCACCCTGCTTGCTGGGTTTTGGGGCTCTGTCTCATGCTGACCTGTCCTACCTGCTAGACAGGTGGGGTCCTTTGGATGCTGAGTCTTCTCTTCCTCCTTGGTACAGTTAAAACCACCCAGTTCCACCGGGCTGAAGCAGCACCACAGGCGCTGTGATGCCTGCCTCCCTGTGGGCATCATGGACTGGTGACTAAGGTCACTTGGCAGAGGGATGTGACAGCTAATGGGGCTCACAACGTCTGAGGCTGCATTTGTAGACCTGCCTCAGCAAGGTCAGCGAGACAGAATACCCCGGGAGGCCTGGGCCCCACTTTCTTTTATCTTTTTACTTTTTTGGCAGTACTGGGGTTTGAACTCTGGGCCTTGTGTTTGAAAGGCAAGCGCTCCACCTCTTGAGTTGCAGCTCCCCCAACGCTTTTGCTTTTAGTTTGTTTTCAGAGATGGTGTTGATCTGCCAGGCTGGACTTGGGCTGAGCTCTTCCTAGCTCTGCCTTGTGAGTACATAGCTGTGATCACCTGTGTACTACCATGTCCAGGTCCCTGGGACCCACTTTCTAGGGGACAAAGACAGAGGCAAACCCAAGGAAGAGAGGCCAGAATTGGGGATGAAGGGGCCAGGAACAGTGTCCTGCGAGCCCTGCAGGCAGAGTTGGGGGTACCCTGCCTTAATCCCCATGTCCTGGGTAGAGAGTGAGGCTGCCTTAGGTGCCTAGAAGGAGGACTGGGCAGGTAGCTGGGAGCAGCAGGGACCAGCCATCAGATTGCTCTGGAGAAGGACTTTCTGTCAGCCTGAGCCATCACTGGGACAAGTGCCTCATTGGGAAGTGAACTGCTCGCAACTAGAGATGTGTAAGCCAGGGCTGGTGACCACGTGACAGGGTTGGAGGGATGGACCGAAAGGCACTCAGGCAGCAACATAGGGATCCATAAAGCCCCTAGTCTGCCACCTTAGCATACAGTGGGGTTTCCTGCATACTCACCTGGCCTCCCTGTGGTCCAGCTAGAATCAGAGGCCACAGCAGCCTGGGCTAGAAGGGTCCTTGAGGTCACTCCAGGTAGGAAGCCAAGTCACAGGAGGGAGCTTACTGTCCAGCTGCTGACTTTCCACACCCTATCCATCCTCCTTCATTCGACGTTGTCTCTCCCATACCCCCTGCCACGCTCACAAACACATTACTCCCCAAGACCTGTTATTAGGACTCTGGGTGCTCATGTATGTGTTGGGGCTTGGGGACCATGTTAACGTGTGGCCTTCTGGGTGATGAGCAGGTCTTATATGGTGAGATCTCAGGCCTTCAGATCATGGGGGGATGTGGGGCTCTTTTGATCATACAAAGGGTTTCCTGGAAAGGAGCTGTGTCCTGTCCCAAGGGGCCCCAGACCTCTTGGAGGACACTGGATGTTGAGTCTGGCAATGGGGTGGGAGGGAGAGGCCAGCCTGGAGCCAGCCTAATCTGGGGCTTAGTTTCAATGCTGGTGGCTTCATTGGAATGTCCAGCCACAAGTCAGGGTGAGTGGTGTCTCTG